CTCTGCTGTCTCTTTTCTATCTCTGCTGTCTCTTTTCTATCTCTGCTGTCTCTTCTCACTCTCTGCTGTCTCTTTTCTCTCTCTGCTGTCTCTTCTCACTCTCTCTTTGCTGTCTCTTTCTCTTTTCTATCTCTGCTGTCTCTTCTCACTCTCTGCTGTCTCTTTTCTCTCTCTGCTGTCTCTTCTCACTCTCTGCTGTCTCTTTTCTCTCTCTGCTGTCTCTTTTCTATCTCTGCTGTCTCTTCTCACTCTCTCTTTGCTGTCTCTTTTCTATCTCTGCTGTCTCTTCTCACTCTCTCTTTGCTGTCTCTTTTCTATCTCTGCTGTCTCTTCTCACTCTCTGCTGTCTCTTTTCTCTCTCTGCTGTCTCTTCTCACTCTCTGCTGTCTCTTCTCTCTCTGCTGTCTCTTTTCTCTCTCTGCTGTCTCTTTTCTCTCTCTGCTGTCTCTTTTCTCTCTCTGCTGTCTCTTTTCTCTCTCTCTGCTGTCTCTTTTCTCTCTCTCTGCTGTCTCTTTTCTCTCTCTCTGCTGTCTCTTTTCTCTCTCTCTGCTGTCTCTTTTCTCTCTCTCTGCTGTCTCTTTTCTCTCTCTCTGCTGTCTCTTTTCTCTCTCTCTGCTGTCTCTTTTCTCTCTCTCTGCTGTCTCTTCTCTCTCTCTCTGCTGTCTCTTTTCTCTCTCTCTGCTGTCTCTTTTCTCTCTCTCTCTGCTGTCTCTTCTCACTCTCTCTCTGCTGTCTGTTCTCTCTCTGCTGTCTCTTCTCACTCTCTCTCTGCTGTCTGTTCTCTCTCTGCTGTCTCTTCTCTCTCTCTCTCTCTCACTTTCTCTCCCGTCTGTCTTTTCTTACCTTCACTGCAGCAGCTTCTCAGGTCTCCTCTCGTGCACCGGCGTCCTGCCCTCCCACGGTGCTCGTGGCCAACATTGTATACACGGGGAGAGGTGTCCCGCCCCTTCCCGTCTGCGGCACCCCTGCTGTATGGCATACATACTGCCTTCGTCTAGTGATCTGCAGTGGAAAATCACATTGGTGCCCTTACTTTAGTAGGAATGTATAGTTTTATGTTTTCTTTATGATGTTCAGGACAATGAAACTAGGTGAATGCGAGTGTCATATTCTCCATCTGCAGCCAGCCGGTGGAGCTATGGAGTCCACTGACAGAAGGATTTCTGTAATTCTCTACAGCTCTGTGATTAGCAAAGCTCATGTTCCCTGCTGATTGAAGAGCTCTAGCTCAGCTGGAGGCAAGTCATATCTCTGTAGAATGGCCGCTGCTTCCACAAAGAGAGCAATGGTCCCTCTCTGCAGCTTGCTGGCAGGGGACAGGCTTTTCTACTTAAGTTGTAGCTGCTTTCTAAAGAATACACAATGGAAGACGGCACAGCTTTTGTTTTGATGCACTTGAAATGTATTGAGCTGATTTTAACTGCACGTTGAGTTGGGCTTTCAGGTATAGTCAGTGCTGTATGTGCGTGGCCTGTCGGTGAGCCCCGTACTGACCTTCTCCACCTTTTATCCTGTACAGGTGAGATACTCTTCACAGAGTCTGATTGAATACCTCCGAGACATCCAGAGCAATGCTGAAGCCATGGATTCTTTTGTCAAGACGCTGCTGCAAGTCTTCAGGGACAACCAGCACAAAGACCGGTATCAGAACTTACATATTTTATTCATCATCATTATACAGGATTTCTATAACGCCAACAGTCTGCACAGCGCTGTACAATATAAGGAGGACATTGCACTTACAAGACAAGATGGTTAGGAGGGCCCTGCATGTGAGAGCTTACAATCTAAACTTCCTAAAGTACCAGGAGGCCTCTTACCCAACAAACAACTACAACTCTCATTATGCTGGGAGCTTGTAGATTACTGCAGGCGGAGCTCCAGAATAGCTCTGTTTGCTGTGTCTGGAGTGTTCCTCTGCTGCTTTCTGTCACGTTTCATGATATCTGAACAGGAGTATAAAACGCAAGCTCGCCCCTCTACTAGAAACCGTTTCCACATCTTAAACTCTCTGCGTCTCCTCCGCCGCCTGGACTTGGAGTTGAGTTATCAGAGAGGGAGACACACACACACACGGATAATCTGCTGCCCTGAGTGACATGCCATGAGATTAAACTAAAAGGAGGTTGTGTAACTTCCCTCTCACAGTGCACTAACTCGTACTGGGTAAATACATTCATCATCATCATTATTATGCCTCTTCCAGGCATACTACAGATAGCTGAAGAGCTCGGAAGGATAATGGGGTGTGTAGTTTTTAAATATGTAACCATTGCATTAATCACCTCATTGCCCATACAGAACTTCCCATTTGGGTCCCAGTTCAAAACGGTCATCACAGCTTGGGAATAGGTTGTAGGATCTCTGGGGCTGATGCAGGCAGGATTCTTCAATACCAGTCCTTGCTATAGGAGTAGCAGTCCAGACTGGAGTGCAGTATAGAGTTCTGGATTACATCTGTATCTCACACTCACTCAATTGTATTGCCTATTATTCCTCTACAGAACTTCAGGGGTGAAGCTGAACTCCAGACAAAACCTGTTCAGTGGTGATAGGAGTGTAGAGGGCTGAGAACCTCTGTCAGGTTTTTATTGCTATTTCTGTGGCCATACGGGAGACAATAAGGGAGCAAAATCTTTCCACCGGACATAGACAGTTCTATAATATCTTCATAAAGTAGAGCTGGGAAAGCTGAGAACCTACTCATTGTCCTTATCGGGGAGATCTCACTTCCTGTGTGGTGACCAAAACAGGAAATGAGGAGAAATCTCCCCAATAGGAACACAGCAATTAAACCTGAGGGAGTTCTAATCCCTCCAAAAATGAAAAGAAATACGTATATTTGGTTGTAGTTGGCCTTAAATTGCTCAAAACTGATCAACACGATTGTCTGTTTTCTCTGCAGAGTCTCCATCCCTTTGCTGAAGATGTTGGACCAAACGTTGGCCAATAGCTGCTATGAGCCCTACACACAGGAGGAAAAGTAAATATCCTAATTGTATAAAAAAATACTGGCATTGACCTTTCCAATATGAAATGATGAAGGAATGAAATAAGTTAGGTTGCACCTTTCCTTTCTTCTTTAACTCTCATGTGAGCTTGAATTTGATTGGTGACTGCGGGATCTCAATGGCACTGTAATAGGGCTCGGTGTTCCCGGAACCTCTTCACCCGTCACCTCTGTCCCTGCAAATGTGTAAAATGCAGCAGTAGCCGGTTACCTGCCAGAGGTCTCGTGACAAATTTATTGAGGTGTCGTCACCTTTTATTAGGATGTAGATTTATAGAGGATTACATATTGCCTGAGTGATACAGAGCGAGGGCTCGGGTCTCCCCAGACGGCACTCCGTACCAGACTTTTCCTCCAATTTCCTCCCGCTGAGGGCCGGGTTCCTGCCTTCCTCCTTATGTGGAATTGGCAGGCCCGGGGAGCGAGCTTGTGCCTGGCCTAATCTGCTCCTCATCTGGTTATGTTTATCCAATGGCTTCCAGATGTTGCCAATCGAGTGGCCTCTTTGTCTCGCTGCTACATGTCTGAATGCGAGTTGTCAGATCCACTTAGGCTCTCCGATCTCAGGCCGCCATGACACCGCAGTCCTGGAACCCCAGCAGTCTCCTCGTCCAAGGTGCCGTTCTAACCCTCAAATCTTATTACATCTTCCACAAGGCCTGATAGGGAGCCGGTACTGAATGTTGGCTATCAGCCGTCTGCAGCCTCTTCCATTCTAGTATACATTTCATGGAGAATATCCCTCTCCTTCCGTCCCTCCTGCTGCTGCTGCTGCTGCTGGATTCATAGAAATCGTTTACAATTCAAGTTATCTACAGACTAAATTCTTTGCTTTGCATTGAGTGTGGAAAGGATGCAACCTCTGTCAGGATATTATAGTTGTCTTTGTCACCACTGGAGAGCAAAACCCCTTCATGGGGACACCTGTTCTGGTGACAACCAACAAGAATTTAATTTCTCACACTTTGGAGAGATATCCTTCCACTTCCTGTTGTGTCTATGGTACTGGAAGGGAAGGGAAATTTCTGCAATGGGACACAGGTGGCAAAAAAAGGAGTTTTGGCAATTCTATACACAAAAAAACATTATGACTTTCTGCCTGCATTTAACAGCTGCCATTTTTTTTGCCTTCCATCCCGGTAGAGGTGCAGAGATCCTGCTGGTCATGTGATGCCGATGATCCTCCTCCTGCCATGGCTGCCCACAGATCACTCTTAGAAGAGTTTAGAGCAGGGGTAGCCAGACCCCGGCCCTCCAGCTGTGGTGAAACTACAAATCTCACGAGGCATCTCTTCCCGGGAGTCATGTCTGTGGCAGTGAGAATCTTGCAATGCCTCATGGGACTTGTAGTTCCGCCACAGCTGGAGGGCGGGTGTTTGGCTACCCCTGGTTTAGAGGATGGAAAGGAAAAAACAAAATGGGAAGCTCCCCAATTTCTTCATAATCCATATAACTGATTACAGTGAGAGGGGGGGGGGGGGGGGGGGGGTTCTGTGTGCTTCGGGCGAAATATTAGGGGTCTAAACAGATTGAGGACACAGAGTCCTCTGCCCATGCAGCAGGGAATGCGAGGAGAAGCTGGTTTGGACGCCTGGCGCCCCTGTTGCCGATGGCGCCCTGTGCTCGCCATGGCAACAGGGGCGAGGGGGCGCAGCCAGGCTGGCCCTGGCTACGCCCCCTCTCAGCTACACCTGAGGCGAGTGCCTCACTCGCTCCATGG